CTTTAATGCTTCTGTTGTACATGTGTAGGTCTGTTTCTGGGCATTCTATTCTATTAGGCTCTTTGTCTGTACCCATACCAGTAACACAAGATCTTAATTGTTGTAACCTTACAGTAAGTCTTGATATCTGACAGGGTAAAATCCTGTTCCTTCTTTCATAAACGTCTTAACTATTCTTTTTTTTTTCCTTTTGCGGTACGTGGGCCTCTCACTGTTGTGGCCTCTCCCGTTGCAGAGCACAGGCTCCGGACGCGCAGGCTCAGCGGCCATGGCTCACGGGCCCAGCCGCTCCGCGGCATGTGGGATCTTCCCGGACCGGGGCACGAACCCGTGTCCCCTGCATCGGCAGGCGGACTCTCAACCACTGCACCACCAGGGAAGCCCCGTCTTAATTCTTCTTTTTCTTTTTGTCTTAACTGTTCTTGATCCTTTGCTCTTCCACATGAATTTAGAATTGTCAGTAAAATCCTCATGGAAATTGTGATTGAGTAATCAAATAAAGCCATGGAAATTAATATTATTTCTATATCATTAAGAATGATTCTAAGGATATGAGAGGAAAAACCTCAAATTCAAAGACCTTTGGAGCTAGATGGGAAATACATTTACATGTATTAATTAAGAGCCAAGGTATATTAGTTACCTAGGGCTGCCAAAACAAAGTACCAAAAACTGAGTGTCTTAAATAATAAAAAATTATTTCCTCACAGTTCTGGGGGCTACAAGTCCAAGATCAAGGTGTTGGCAGGCTTGGTTTCATTCTGAGGGCTCTCTCCTTGTCTTGCAGATGGCCATCTTCTCTTTGTGTCTTCACAGGGTTTTCCCTCTCTGTGTGTCTGTGTTCTAATCTCCTCTTCTTAGAAAGACACAAGTCATATTGGATTAGAGTCCACCCATATGACCTCATTTCACATTAAGGTCCTATCTCCAAATGCAGTCACATTCTGAGTTACTAGGGGTTAGCAGTTAAATGTTGGGGCCTTTAACCCACCATTTGGTGGGGCTGGGGCACAGTTCATCACTGTTTTATACAGTGATGTGGAATATATGAGAACTTTAAAAAACATATTTGTAAATTTAATTAATTAGATTTGTGAAAATAATTTAAGTACATGAAAAGGTTTGATTTGTTAGGTCAGACAATTGCAATACTTGAAAGGAAAACTGAAGTATTACATTAAAAAGTATGGTATAAAGTGTTTTAGAGTAAAAATTTGGAGTGAAACTAAATTTTATCCAAAAGCCTCTTAAAAGTGATTGTGAAAATTTACTAAGCTAATAAATAGTTTAGGATTTTTTGCTGAGCTTAAATGCTTAAGGAAAGGGATTTTCAATTTATAACTTTAATAAATTGAACATTAACTTTTAAAATCTAAATAAATCTCTGAATAGTATTTTGTACTCTTAGTGCCCCAAATGACTCTCAAAGTCATCAAAAAAAACCTTCCATGTATCAAGATCAGCTTACAGATAACACAGAAACCCTGCTTCACATTTAATTGTAGTTACATTGAATTTATAGATTTATTTGGGGAGAATTGTCATCTTAACTGTATTGAATTTTCTCATCTATGCACATAGTAAATATTTCCATTTATGTAAGTCTACTTTTTTGACTTTAAATAAAGCTTATATAATTTTCTCCATATGGATCTTTCACATCTTCTATTAGATTTATTCCTGGGTATCTGCTATATATATTTAAAGATGTTCCTTATGAGTCTTAAATTGTCACCTAGTAAAGAATATCACATTTTCTTACACTTCTTGTAAATAAAGACTTTTGGTTTGGAACCAGTGGCCTTGTTGGCAAGACATGCCAGGAGAGCTGTTACTATTTCCAGTCCCAAGATACTACCTCAAGTGGATCCTGCCTGTTAGGTTGCTTCAATGTAACTATCAAATGCCATCGTGCAATTTGGCATTTGAGTAAGGAAAATAAGCAAGACAAGATGCCAGTGGAAAGGATATAGAATAAAAGAATGTATAAGGAAAAGAAAAAAAATATATGTTTTTAGATAGAAAATTACATTTTGTCTAGTCTATTTTTTAAGTCTGTAAATGTGAGGTAACATTTTTCTCTTTTCATCTTTGCTTGGTCTTTTTTTTTTTTTTTTTTTTTTTTACGTGGGCCTCTCACTGTTGTTTTTTTTTTTTTTTAGCGGTACGCGGGCCTCTCACTGTTGTGGCCTCTCCCGTTGCGCAGCACAGGCTCCGGACGCGCAGGCACAGCTGCCATGGCTCACGGGCCCAGCCGCTCCACGGCATGTGGGATCTTCCCGGACTGGGGCACGAACCCGTGTCCCCTGCCTCGGCAGGCGGACTCTCAACCACTGCGCCACCAGGGAAGTCCATGGTCTATCTTTAAAGCTGCAGGCTTTAAAATATTTTTAAAGTCACTTAATATTTTGAATAGTCAAGGCATTGTTCAAAACTAAAAATGTATACAAAGGAATGCAGTTCCCAACATGTGATCACTTCCCACGCCCATCCTCAGTAAGTAACCATTGCCATGCATATCTTATTTACCCTTCCAGAGATTTTTTAAATGAAAACACAATTATATATGATATATTTATTTAAGTATATACAGATATATATGATATTCTACCCCTTTTAAAATTTAGATGGTAGCAAAA